GTGTTATAAATAAGAGAGTAATTTTATCCTGCAATGTTTTCATTATTATAATAAAAAATGCGATAGAATTTATCAAATTGTGTGTATTTATATCGTTTTCGATCGCCCACATTTTCTATTTTCATATCGACTGTGATGAATATGTGAACAAGACCTCCGTCATGTATCTAATTTGAATAATCGACACGAACGACGGATTCTGATGGAATTCATATGAGAAATCGGAGGGAATTACGGATATACGGATATATGAATATGAATATGATATGTCTCTGTCGAAGGAGATTATTATTATAAATGTATAATTTATTTATATATATACTATTTGACCCAGCAAATATTGTGTATCTCAGTCCAAAAATCGATCTTTTTTTTTAAATTAACGACATTGGTTTATTTTTAAATCCAATTGAACATAAAGATGACAGATAAAAATAAGTAACGTCAGAAAGATTTTATACCCCGAAATCTAATTATATTTCATCGTCTTTTCAAAATAATTGCGGGTTTTGGCGAAATTATTATTCGACGTCGAGATGAAAAAGTCATTTGCGTGAATTCGCAAATAAAAACTGTGTGCGATAACTTGGGCTATAAAATTTTATTATAGCTCTCGAAAGCTTTAAATTATATTATTGACTTACTGGAATCGAGAGAAAATTAGATTATAAAACTAATACAAAAATTTTAGATAAAAATAAAAAAATATACGTTACTTATGAATAATATAGATTGAAAAAAATATTTATTTTCAACCAAGAAGCTTTTATTGAGCTTCATAGTACTTATTGCATTGATTTTACATAATTTGGGTTCTGTACTAGGCTAAGGCAGTGCTGCCTCTACCGAAATGAAAGAACATCTGTGTATAAACAAAATTAAATAAACTTCTACAAATTGAGTTACTGTAGAGAGCAATTCTACAAATTGTTATAAATCTATTCATTTTATAATATATACAAAAAAAGTTTTATTTTTATGAAAAAAAAACTGCTAAGTTGATCTTAACACAAAAATAATGTAATTAATACTGATATTAAACTTATTAAACAACATTAATAATTTTTCTTTTTTTTAAAAAGTGAGCAAATTGATTTTATTTTTGGTTCTTGTCTTTGCTAACACAGTGCTGCCACTATAAAATATCGCGGCCACAAAGTGAACTAAAATATGAATGGACATATAATTATTACAAAAAAAACATAAATTAATGCTTAATAATTGATTAATTAATTAAATAATAATCATCAAACAGTTATTTTCCACAATTTTTAAAAGATCTTACCACGAAGAAACGGCTCGACTGATCTTCACACAAAACTAATTAATTTTGAACTGATATCAAATTTTAATCTCATTAATAACGCTGATATAATTATTTTTGTAAAAAGTGAGCAAATTAATTTTATTTGTGGTTCGTCATATAATTATTTAAAAATCTGTAAAGTTGTCATAAAACAATTATATTTTACAATTTTTATATTAGTTAACTACAAAGAAACGGCTCGACTGATCTTTTCACAAAACTATTTTTTTTTTAAAATAATTAATAATCACATTTACATTGCAATTTTTACATTATTCTGAAAAAGTGAGCTAAATAACTAAATATTTTTGGGTTTGGTTCTAGTCTATGCTAAGTTTGTGCTGCTAATGTCAAAATTGTGGCTAAAAAGTGAACTAAACCCGGAATTGATGAAAAATAAATAAGAATAATTAATTTAAAAAATCGTAGTAATTTTATATTTATAACTATTTATTTATTTATTTCCACAAATTATTGAACAATTATTATTTATTTTATTATTCAGAAATTTTATTTATATTATTTATTAATTTTATTTTTATTATTATTTGCTTATATTTTACATTAAATCATATTACGGATATTATTTTCATGTAAATTTTATCCTTTGCTCTTTTATTTATTTAAATTTATATTATTATTTATCAATATTACTTGATGTTAATAAATTAGCAGTTGTAATAATTATTGAAATAAAAAAAAAAAGAACAATTATTTATGATATATATATATATATATATATATATATATATATATATATATTTAAATTTTCAATATTTACACAAAACTAAATAATTAAAATATTGATTTATAATAAGTATTGAATTCTTCTTATCTAAAAGTTTTAGTATTAATTTAATTTACACTGATATTTTTACAACAAATTATTTTTTTTTTCATTTTTTTATATTAAAACAATTTTGGATCTAGTCTTTACTACGACTGTGCTGCCACTATGGAAACTTGTGGACAAAAAGCGAATTAAATACGAATGGACAAATAATAACTAAAAAATAACAAATTTACATACTAAAATTTGACAAATTGCCATTTTTGTTTATATATTTTTTTTTAATTTCAATAATTATTACAACTGTTAAATAATTAACATCTAGTAATATTGATAAATAATAACATAAATTTAAATAAATAAGAGTGCAAAGGATAGAATTTACATGAAAATAATATCCGTAATATGATGATTTAATATGAAATAGAAGCAAATAATAATAAATAATATAAATAAAATTTCTGAATAATAAAATAATACTAGAAAAATAACAAAATATAATAAAATAACAATAATAGAAATAGTAAAATAATAATAATAATAATAATAATAATAATGTTAGCGTTCACAAATTTTTGGTTATATGAAATTTAAAAAGAGTGTATTTTTAATACAATTACATTAAATATTTATTATATTATTTTACTTTTTGTTTCTTTTAATAATTCGCTTGTCTCTTGTTTACAAAAACATCTTAATGCCTCTCTTTACTTACATTTTTCTCGACATAAAATAAAAAACGAAAAAAAATAAGCGTATTCTAATTCCTTTAATATTATTTCTTATAAGCATTATATTTTTTTGCTTATTGCTTTCAAGCTTTTTAGCTTTTTCCCTCGACGTGCTTTTACGTTTAAAAGACATCCATTAAAAATGATTTTTCTTCAGACAAAAAATATATAATAAGGGAATTATATTATATATATATATATATATATATATATATATATATATATATATATATATATATATATATATATATAAATTTAATATCTTCCGCGATTCTCACGGACTAAAATATTATTCCCTCAACTAAATTTATTTCAACTTCAATTTCTGTTGGTATCATATTACTTTGTTCAACATTTACATAAATATATTTATATATTAGATATGTTCGTAATAATATTTAGAATTTATGATGACTTTAGATTGATTTGAAATACTGCACAAGATACTTCCAATTGACACTTTCATATAATTCAAATACTGAAGTGCTAGTTCTACTTTCTTTTATACATAATATATAAATTATATTCATAAAAATTGGGCTGTGGTAAGGAAATTAATCTTGCAACTCAAAAATATAAATTGATACCCAAAATTCCGAATTTATACCTATAATTCCGACTCGAAACCCAAAATTCTAAGTTTTGTTGCACCATGCAGTAGTGACATCAGTTTTTACTTCAAAATATAGATCAAAATATATATTCAAGTAAAAATACGCGTTTCTCGACTTTTTTGCGTCATTTGAAATTATATTATTACTATAAGAGAAATTCTAGTAATAACACATTTTAGGACAATTATTGGGTTGCCTTCTAAAACATAAAAAATATATTATTATTTCATGTGTTGCATTATAATGTCGATAACGATACACTTTAAACAAAACATCATTTTTTTCACAATTACACTCGAAACTAACAAAGTTCTTGATACTCTATAGCACGCAACTTTATTGCACTTGGGTGCAATTGCAAATGTTGCAAGTTGCAACTACTGTCTAATGTCTAATGTGTTTCCAGAAGCAATCAAAAGAAAACTAACTTTAAATCGTGATCGTTAAAATAAGGAAACATTGTAAAAAACTGTTGAACCACTTAATAAAACACGATTTAAAGTACACCGAGTAAAAATAGGATTATATAATATTAGACAATACTAAAGATTATGCAATTTTACATAAATTTGTGGAATGTTTTATTGAAATTAAATAAACCGTTTAAAAGTTACAAGAGATGCAATAATTAAATGCAGTGTACCAGATGGTGACAAATTGGTCATACAAAATATTATTGTTATTGTTGTTTATTTATAATACTTAATAAATAATATTTTAAAGTACACCGAGTTGCTGTAGGGCTATATAATATTAGACAATATTAAGGATTATTTAATTTTGCACAAATTTGTAGAATGTTTTATCAAAATTAAATAAACCGTTTAAAAGTTACAAGAGTTGCAATAAATAATAGTTGTTTATTCATAATACTTATCATTTGTTTTTTTTTTTTTTTTTTATATTTCTATCAATATATGTTACAAAGTCCAGTGTAATATTTTATGCATTACTACCTAATAAGTATTTTTGCTATTTATGTGTGGTATTTAAGGAAATTTTAATAATCTAGTTACATATCAATATCAATAATGTTGTCAATATGTGCAAAAAAGGAAAACACTTATCAAATGACATTTTAAAGTACACCGAGTTGCTGTAGGGTAATATAATATTAGACAATATTAAAGATTATTTAATTTTGCACAAATTTGTCAAATATTTTATTTAAATTAGACAAACCGTTTGAAAGTTACAAGAGTTGCAATAAATAAATTCAGTGCTCCAGATGGTGACAATATGTTCACACAAAATATTATTGTTATTGTTGTTTATTCATAATACTTAATAAATAACATTTTAAAGTACACCGAGTTGCTGTAGGGTCATATAATATTAAACAATATTAAAGATTATGTAATTTTGCACAAATTTGCCGAATATTTTATTTACATCAGACAAACCGTTTAAAAGTTACAAGAGTTGCAATAAATAAATGCAGTGTACCAGATGGTGACAATTTGGTCATACAAAATATTATTGTTATTGTTTTTTATTTATAATAATATTTATTATTGTTATTATTGTTAATATTAATATTGTTTTTTTTTTCTTTTCAGCTCAATACAGGAGTCCACGGATAACAGAGCATCCCAGTGACATAATTGTTGCAAAAAACGAACCTGTCACCCTAAATTGCAAAGCTGAAGGTCGTCCTGAACCCACTATCGAGTGGTTCAAGGTAAAAAAAAAACTAATTAAAATTGTAATAATAAATACAATAATAATTTAACAGTAATAAAAACTATTTACACAGTCTAAGCGATAGCCTCACACAAATATACTAGTAATTGCGTTTAGATTGGGATTATATAGAATTATTTTCTAAATTTCGTGAAAATTTATGGAAAATGTGAAAATTCAGCCAGGATAGTCACAGTCTAAACGACAGCCCGGCATAAATATATTTGGTAGGGCGTTTAGAATGTGACTTTACCGGAGCGTTTTTTCAATTTTGTATAACATTTTACTTTTTTGAAAATGCTGTGAAAAAGCAACTGATACCGGATGCTGTATTAAAAATAATTATTAAAAAATTTACCAGTCTAAGCACAGTCTAAGTGATAACTTCACACAAATTTATTAGCAATTGCATTTAGATTGTGACTATACAAGAGTTTTAATTTAAATTTTGTGAAAATTGATGAAAAAAGTGAAAATTCAGCCTGGATAATCACAGTCTAAGCCACGACCCGGCACAAATATATTTGCAAGGGCGTTTAGAATGTGACTTTAAGGGAGCATTTTTCCAATTTTGTATCAAATTTTACTTTTTTTTTGAAAATGCTATAAAAAACTACTGATACCGGATGCTGTATTTAAAATAATTATTAAAAAATTTACCAGTCTAAGCACAGTTTAAGTGAAAACCAATCTACCAGTTTAAGTGAAAACTTCATACAAACTTATTAGCAATTGCGTTTAGATTGTGATTATACGAGAGTTTTAATTTAAATTTTGTGAAAATTCATGAAAACAGTGAAAATTCTGCCCGGATATTTACAGTCTAAGCTGCAAACTGGCTCAAATATATTTTCAAGAGCGTTTAAAATGTGACTTTGATGGAGCACTTTTTCGAATTTGTATAAAATTTTACTTTTTGAAAATGCCATAAAAAAACTACTGCATTAAAATAATTATTAAAAAATTCACCAGTCTAAGTCTAGTCTAAGTGATAACTCCACACAAATTTGTTAGATTTGAGCGTTCAGATTGGACTATACGGGAGCATTTTTTAAATTTTGTGAAAATTGATGAAAAAAGTGAAAATTCTGTCAGGACATTCACAGTCTAATCCACGACCCGGCACAAATATATTTGCAAGGGCGTTTAGAATGTGACTTTACAGGAGCACTTTTCCGATTTTGTATAAAATTTTACTTTTTGTGAAAATTGATGAAAAAAGTGAAATTCTGTCAGGATAATCATAGTCTAAAGCCACGACCCGGCACAATATATTTGCAAGGGCGTTTAGAATGTGACTTTACAGGAGCACTTTTCCGGTTTCGTATAAAATTTTACTTTTTGTGAAAATTGATGAAAAAAGTGAAAATTCAGCCAGGACAATCACAGTCTAAGCCACGACCAGACACAAATATATTTGCAAGGGCGTTTAGAATGTGACTTTACAGGAGCACTTTTCCAATTTTGAGTAAAATTTTACTGTGAAAATGCTATAAATTTCGAACCAATGAAATTCAAGGAAAGCCACAGCAAAGCGTGGCTAGATATGCAAGTGTAATATTTTGCTCTAAAATGCTATAAAAAGAAAACCACTGGATATTTTTTCAATTTTTTTTTTATTTGAAAGAACAATCTTTCTGGTAAATAATGGAAAATAGTTTTATTGAAAAAGCAGCTTATACTGGCCTGCAAAATTTAAAAATTGAGAAATAACGGAGGTAGGACTTTTTATAATATATTGCTAAAATCAATATACAATTTTTGCAAGCCAACTATCAATCTCATATTTGATTGTTTGTTTTTCTTCTCATTTTGTGTTTTTGTCTTTTTTTTAATATTTTGCTTTATTAATATATGTTATTTACTTAGTAGACTCGCCGCTGGGTGTTGCTACTATCTTCTGGTTTATATTATAAGATAATTATTGTTAACAATCTTTGCTTAATGTTTATGCTTATGTAAAACAGATTGCAGAATAAATTAAATAAAAATAAAAAAAAAACTATCAATCTATTATTTTCAAACTACTCATCAATTATCTTGAATTTCCAAAACAAACAAACCATCCCACTTCTGGTAAAGTAGTCATTTACCTACCTGCCTTCGTGTTTATCTACCAGATAATTGAATACCGTTTATCAATTTACGAAGTGACCTCTTAACGATGGGTCAATCTGTGAGGTCAGTTTGTCTTGACCTTTTCTTGAAGAGGAACAAGAGATATGCTAATCAGGCAAATTGCCTGATAAAAGCCTGAGTGGATAGAGGTTGATCTAAAGTAGAAATAATTAGGAACTTTGAGGTAACTTGCAATGCCTGGCCTCTGTTTCTAGACTGCAAGGGTTTTATTTTTTTATTTTTTTGACGGTTACCCGAGGCAGTGATTTGGATGAAATTATTTTTTATTTTTACCTAAAGGTTTGTAGTTTCAAATAAAAAAAGAATTTTCAAAAAATATTCAGTAGTTTTGTTTTTATAGCATTTTTTAGCAACTTTTATTACACTTGCATATCTGGCCACGCTTTGCTGTGGCTTTCCTTGAATTTCATTGGTTCGAAATTTATAGCATTTTCACATACAAAATCGGAAAATTGCTCCAGTAAAGTCACATTGTAAACGCCCTTGCAAATATATTTATACCGGGTCGTGTCTTAGACTGTGATTATGCTGGTCGAATTTTTACTTTTTTCATAAATTTTTACAAATTTTTAAAAATGCTTCTGTATAGTCACAATCTGAATGCAATTGCTAATATATTTGTAGTAAGTTATCACTTAGACTGTGCTTAGACTGGTAAACTTCTTAATAATTGTTGTTAATATTTATTTAAAATCGGAAAAATGCTCCCAGAAAGTCACATTCTAAACGCCCTTGCGAATATATTTGTACCAGGTTGTCGCTTAGACTGTGATTATCCTGGCCGAATTTTCACTTTTTTCATAAATTTTTACAAAATTTTAAAAATGCTTTTGTATAGTCACAATCTGAATGCAATTGCTAATACATTTGTGGGAAGTTATCACTTAGACTGTGCTTAGACTGGTGAATTTTTTAATAATTGTTTTGAATACAGTAGTTTTTTCAAAAAAGTTAAATTTTATACGAAATTGAAAAAACGCTCCTTTCAAGTCACATTCTAAACGCTCTTGCAAATATATTTGTACCGGGTTGTCGCTTAGACTGTGATTATCCCGGCTGAATTTTCACTTTTTCATAAATTTTCACAAAATTTAAATAATGCTCCTGTATAGTCACAATCTAAAGGCAATTGCTAATATATTTGTGAGATGTTATCGCTTAGACTGAGCTTAGGCTGCTGAATTTTTTTTAAATTGTTTTTAATTCAGGATTTGCCATCAGTAGTTTTTTATAGCATTTTCAAAAAAAGTAAAATTTTATACGAAATTGGAAAAACGCTCCCTTAAAGTCACATTCTAAACGCCCTTGCAAATATATTTGTACCGGGTTGTCGCTTGGACAGTGACTATTTTGGCAGAATTTTCACTTTTTTCATAAATTTTCACGAAATTTGAATAGTGTTCCTGTACAGTCACAATCTGAATGCAATGGCTAATATATTTGTGAGAAGTTATCGCTTAGACTGTGCTTAAACTGGTGAATTTTTTTCTTTAGCTTTCCTTTGGCTGAACAACAATTCAATTATATTATATTAATAATAAAATAATAGTCTTTGTTTTTAGTGGTTTAAAAGGGGTGTAGTGTGGTAAAATTGAAGGTTGAATTTTTATTTTGTTACTTGATTGATTTTGAAAATAATAGTGATGTAAATTATTTTAAAATAAATATTCGAATATATCGAAAAATTTTTTTTATCAATACTAATTTATTTGATTTGTTTATTTATAAAATTTCATTCTAATTTATAAATATAATTTTTACTATTTTAAGTACTTAAATTCTAATATATTTCATTTACGATTTTAACAAATTTTAAGTCAATATATCGATATATATCTATTTTTATCGATTTTTTTCTATTTTTTATCGATAGTCATAAATCTAAAGATTGTTGTTAAACATGTTAATAAAAATTAGTTTTATTACGGCGATAAATCGCTTACGGTTTTAATTTCTTTCTAACTCGTTTATTGTGTGAATAAAAACTATAAAATTTATGGACTATAAATTTGTTATAGATAAACATCGTTATATATATATATATATATATATATATATATATATATATATATATATATATATATACACGTATATATATATATATATATATATATATATATATATAAGTATTTCAAGAATTCCTATCGAACAATTTTATCATTAAAAATCGATTATTATATTTATAGTGTTATTAACCTTTTTTAAAAAATACTAACCTAGTTATTTTAAAATTTTTTTAAAGCACGCTGATTTTTTTTTTCAAAAATTAGAAAGTTATATAAGAAATGGGACTTTACGTAGAAGATGAAAAGAGCAAATTGAAAGAAATTAAGAAACAGGACTCTACTGACAATCAAAATTAAATGTGAGCCTTAGAATAAAAAAGGACTCTACTGACAAGCAAACTGAAATTAAAAACATGGAATGAGAAAAAGGACTCTACTGACGAGCAATCTAAAATCTAAGACATGAAATGAAAAAAAGGACTCTACTAACGAGCAAACTTATATTCAAAAGGCATGAAATGAGAAAAGGACTCTACTGACAAATAAGGACTCTACTGGGGGACAAACTGAAATACAAAATCCAAGAGCAAAATAAGAGAAAGGACTCTACAGACGAGTAAACTAAAATATAAGACTTGAAATAAAAAAAACTCTACTGACGAGCAAGATAAAATTTAAGACATGAAATTAGAAAAAAGGTTTCTACTGACAAGCACTCTAAAATTGAAAACCTTAGAAAAAAATAAGATATAGGACTCTACTGACGAGAAAATTGAAATTAAAAGAGTAAAATAAAAAAGCACTCTTCTGGCGAGCAAACTGATATTTAAGACATAAAATAAAAAAGGACTCTACTGACGAGCAAACTGAAATACAAAACCTGAGCAAAAAATAAGGAAGAGGACTCGACTGACGAGCTAACTAAAATACAAACGTGAGAAAATTAGTAAAAGAACTCTACTGACGAGCAAACTAAAATCTAAGTCAAAAAATAAAAAAAGACTCTACTGTCAGCAAATTGAACTCTAAGTTGTAAAATAAAAAAGGACTCTACTGAGAAAAATAAAAAACAAAACCTAAAAAATTAAAAAAAAAAAACGAAATACAAAATTCAAGAGGAAAATAAGAAAAAAGACTATACTGACGAGCAAACTAAAATATATGACTTGAAATAAAAAAAGAGCCTACTGACGAGCAAACTGAAAAACAATACACAACACAAAAATTTTACTCTACATCGTTAAAATTATACTTGGCACTCTACTGACAAGAAAATGGATATATTATTTATTGATCTTTTTTTCAAATCTGGATACGTTCCAGTTTCCTTTTCTTTCCTACATCATCGTCAGTAGAGTTTTTTTCTATCTCACTCTTCACACTATTATAACAAAATAATAATACATATGTGATAAACTGAGCTAAATAATAATAAAAGAGGCTGCAAGTTGTTTATATATTTTTTTCTCAATAAATCGTTTATTTCTAATAATATTATTGCAAACGTTTCGAGAATGTGGTTTGTGCCATCAACTTGTCAAATTCCTAATTTGAACAAACGAAATCTACTAGTGTGTAAAACGATTTTTATGGAAAAAGCAAAATACTTTTCAAACAGACATTTAACCAGATGATGTATATAATGATAAAGTAAAAAATTTAGATCTAAAAATATTTTTCCATACGTTTCGAGTACCAATTCGAATCTTCTTCATAGGTTCTTAAAAACCATTTTATCATGGAGAATAAATTCAGAACAAATCCGCTTTAATCTGTATGAGTGTGTTCAGCATATCACAGATGGTGCTAGTGTGCTTCAATCAGCGTTTGTTTTACAACTCAATTTCCTTACACGTACTTTAAACGTTCAAGTACCAATTTTATATATTTAAATATATCTTTCTTACATTTAGTTCAATTTTTTCTCATTATAGTTTTACGGCATATTTGTGATTTTGTTAAAAAATATGTATTTAAATATATTTTATAGCTTGTCTATATTATATATTTATATAAATCTTATCTAGAATTAAACCTCTAAGGGTAAATTTACGTGCTACGTTCAGTGGCGCCATCTATGATATGCCGAAAGAATTAAAATTGTTGTAATCTCAAACCACCCGTGTTTGCCACCTATTTATACTTGTTTATCTATGATTTTATTTGTATTTTTTTTCCTTTCCAGGACGGACAACCCGTCAGGACTAGCCCCGAGGACAACAAGTCCCACCGGGTCCTGCTGCCTGCTGGCTCTCTGTTTTTTCTACGTACCGTCCATGGACGACGAGAGCAGGACGGCGGAGTCTACTGGTGCGTTGCCAGGAACGCTGCAGGAGTCGCCAGGAGCAATAATGCCACTCTACAAGTTGCAGGTAAATGATAATAGTCATATTTGTCATCGGCATTCTTATAAAGGATCCATTGTAGTTTTCTTTTCTTCTGAATTGAATTATTTGACAAAATGTTGGAGATAGAGATTCAGGGAAGAATAGTGTGAGAGGTTTCCAATTGCCAAAAATACAAGTTGCAGGTCGGTAAATAGTAATAGACTCTTTGTGAAGTAAAACTTTTATAGGAGAGGTAATTCTACGATATGAAACTAGCAATAGGACTGAAATAGTTGAACAGCTGTAATATCCGACTTGCCTAACAAATTGAAGCCATACTTTTATATTTGTTTTATTTATCAAGCCCTGCACATAGCTTGATCTATGAAACAATTGCTTGATATACTTAAATTCTGATTCGACTTTGACTGACGACGTCATTTGGATAGAATTGACGGTAAATTGACATTTTTAATGCAATTGATGACAAACAAATTAAATTGTCAACGGACCAGTCATGATAAAATTGTCGTCAGATATAAATAAATATGATCAAGAGATAAAAATAAAATAAGATAAGTATATCTTTACTGAATTTCCACCTCGGTCAATTAAGAGTTTCTCTCATGATGTCGTCGCTAAGAAAACAAAAGGAAAAGGAATTAATCCTTGTAATAAGTCCTAGAAAAACAAAGCCAGAGGCTACGATGACAGATAGTCGAGATGAAGGATATATATATATATATATATATATATATATATATATATATATATATATATATATATATATCCTTTATCCCTTTAGCTTTTTGATCGAGTGCCGTTGTAATACCTAAAGACACACACAAGGAATTGTTTTCGTTTTGTCGGACGATCTTTAGGAAAGTCCAGGGATTCTTAAAAACTATAATGATTTTTTTTTAAATGCTTTTTTGGAAAATTTGATTTTTGTATGATACTGATATTTTTTGAGAACTTTGAAATTTTGAAGGGTTTTAAAATTTATTCATGTTGGTGGTCCCATATTGTCCAAAATATCTAATTTTCAACTGTCAATTGTCATTTTTTGTTACGTTTTTTTTTTGAATTCCGAAACTTCTGAGCCTGCCCTTTTCTTCAAAATAAGTGACATTTTTGCTGAATCCGCACATACATACCCACATACATTCGTTTCTTCCTAAGGTGTGCTAAAATGTTCAGAAACCTTTGAAATGTAAAGATGTATGAAAATTTTCATATTTGATTTTTTGCGATTACTTTAACTTACCCGAAAAATCGACAATGTAATTTTTATATATCTTTACGTTTCAGAGGTTTCTGAACATTTTGGCATACCTTAGAAAAAAATGATGTATGTGTATGTCTATGTGTGGGTGCGGATCCAAAATTTTTGTTGACGATTTCAGGAACACGGATCAACCAATTTGAATGATTCAAAAAACATTCGATTCGTATTGATAAGGAGACGTGCTGATTAGTTTTTTTGGGAAAAGCAGGTCTAGCGATTTAAGATATTCAAGTGAAAAAAATTTAAAAAAGCCAATCGATGGTCAAAAATGATCATTAGACATATAACATATTTTAATAATGTGTATCAATTTTGTTCACATTTTATGGGTTACGTACTAATATTTATCCATAAGATTGCTATGCGGCGCTTACGCGCCTCGATATTTCTGCTTTAAAACAGTTCATAATATTCAGTACAAATAAATTAATTAATCAATTTAAAATACAAAATAATCAAGTTTTTCAAAAAAGTAATTTTTTTCAAAAATTTCAAAATTCTCAATAATTTAATTTTTCAAAGTTCTTAAAAAGTTTTGAAGATTTATTTTGTTTTATATTTTAATTTTTGGTACGGGAAGTTCCAGCAATTTGCCTTAAGGCACGATGCCATGCACTACTAGTCCAGTTCATTATTTTTTTAATCATAGTTTTTCAAACTTTTATGTTTAAATTATTTATAAGCAAATTAATTTTAAGCAAATTTTAAAAATCAAGTAAAAAAAATTAAGTTTTTTAAAAAAGTCTATTTCAGAATTCTCAAAAATCTCATTTAAAAATTTAATTTTTTGTACAGGAAGTTCTAGAAATTTGCCTTAATTAATTTTAAACAAATTTTAAATATCAAGTGTTTCATAAAAATCATTTTTGTTTCGAAAATCTCATTTTTTCTAATTTTAATTTTTGGTATGCAAAATTCCAGCAATTTGTCTTAAAGCCTGATGCCATACTACACTAGTTCTAGTTCAAAATTATTTTAATCAGAGTTTCTCAAACTATGGACTTATAATTACTTATATTCATTAATTTTATGCAAATTTTAAATCTGTTTTTGTAGTTGTAAGAATCTTGTGTCTGGAATTTAAATGATACATACATATATAATATATATATATATATATATATATATATATATATATATACATATATATTAATAAATTTCGAGAATCTGTGGTAGAATCAATACATTAAGTAATGTCTGACCGCCCCCAGGTCTACTTTGATAATAAGGGAAGTTATGATAGTAATCAATAGGAAACTTTTGTATATATATATATATATATATATATATATATATAAATGAAGAAGAAATATAAGATATGATAAAGAAATTGCAGAAAAACGCATCAATCATAACAGAAGCAATGTTTTCATGACTTTTCCTTAAAAGATAATTGAAATGGACTTTGTGCCTTCTCCACTTCAATTTCGTATGATGACGTTGCCAAATGGACGATGATGGTCAGCTAGTATATATATATATATATATATATATATATATATATATATATATAATAACGGCTGAAATAATTCTCTTTTCATTTTGTTGGTCATCTAAAAAAATATAAAGGCATTATTTCTTTATCATTTTTAAGTAGTTTTTCTTATTTTTTAGAACAGTAATTTTCCAAAAAAAGGTTTTTTCTTCATTTTTAATTCTGATAAATCCTTAAGTTTCCAATTTTTATTTTCAAAATCTCAAACACCTAAAAAAAGAATTACAGACAGCATTTACAAAATGAACTGTAACGATTGTAATGTATCTTACGTTGGAGAGAGTTTCCAATATATTTATAAGAGAATGGATTAGCAAATTTATAATTCAAAAAATTTTCAAAAAAATTAAGACCAGTTTAGAACACAGGTGAATTCGCAAACGTTAAAGAAAATAATAATAATTTTAGGAAAATGATGTTAGAAATTGATGCGATTTGATTTCGGAAGAGATCGTTCCAGACTTTTCTCGGTAATTAATAGCTAAAGATTTAGTTTTTCTTCTAAGGTATTGGTATTTAAACTCGGTTGCCTCAAAAGCTTCTATATTTGATATGTCCAAATCTGTATTTCAAAATATTCATCAACAAAAACAGACTTTGGCGTCCATTTATCCTCTTTAA